TTCTGACCAGCCGCACACATAGTCCAATGCCCAAAACAGTTCCATGGCGTTTGGTGCTTTGGCCAGTCAACTCCTGTGGCCGCAATACGGGGTGCTCCACCTGGGTCTTGGGTAGCGTTTGTTCCCCTCAGTCTCAGGCACCTTTCCTCCAAAAAGTGCTCGCCTGGCGGCAGGGCCGGACTGGGAAAAAAATTAGGCCCGGGCATTTTTCAATTAGAGCGGCCCCCCAAGAAGGGGGCGGGGCCAGAGAGGGTGTTTTTTGTCATCACTAATGACAAGTACGCCCCTTCTGAAAGTGAGCATGTTGGTTCAATGCGCAGAGCCCCGCTAAAGAGCTCTAGCATTAGAAAAAGGCCCTGAATTTGTTCTGCGCAGCGCAAGCAAATGTAATAACATTCTTGCGCTGTGTTTGCTTTTAAATTGTCTTTGGTGTCTCCACAAGTGGGATACCAGAGGACAAAAGGGCCAGGAAAGCTTGTGGGATTGCCTGTGTAGAGTGTGGTGTGGTATTGTGTAAATAGGTCAATTTTGTGGTGTATTATGTGTGGCTAGGGGCTGTAGAGATTGCGTATATAGGGGCATAGTGTTATAGGGGATGTAGCGAGTTTGTGCATACGGGCAGTAGTGTGTGTATAGGTGATGTAGTGTGTGTAGGGGTTGTAGAGAGGGTGTGTTTAGAAAATGTTGTATGTGTTTGCTTACAAAGAATGTAGTGTGTGTGTGTGTAGGTGGTGCAGTGTGTGTGTGTGTGTGTGTGTAAGAGATCTAGTGTGTAAAGGACCCAGAGTGTGTATAGAAGAGTGTGTGTGTGTGTAGAAGATTAAGAGTGCATGGGTAAGGGATCTAGCGTGTATCTGGAGCGTAATGTGTGTAGTGGTGCAGTGTGAGGGGTGTTGTAGTGTGTGTGTGTGTGGACGTATTGTATGTGTGAGGTGTGCAGTGTGTTTGTGTAAGAGGGGTGCTGTGAGTGAGTGTTTTTATCTGCCGTCACATTCTAGGTTTCTAATTTTCTTTGTCTGTTAACTCACTGAGGGTTATTTTATATATACTATATATGTGTGTGTGTATATATGTATGTGTGTGTATGTATATATGTATGTATATATGTATGTATGTATATATGTGTGTGTGTATATATGTGTGTGTGTATATATATATATATGTGTGTGTATATATATATATATATGTGTGTATATATATATGTATGTATGTATATATATATATGTGTCTGGGGGTGCTGGTGTGTCTGGGGGTGCTGGTGTGTCTGGGGGTGCTGCTGGTGTGTCTGGGGGTGCTGTGTCTGGGTGCGCTGTGTGTGTTTGGGTGCTGTGTGTCTGGGGGTGCTGGTGTGTTTGGGTGCTCTGTGTGTGAGGGGGCTGTTAGGGAATTTTTTTATTAATAATTTTAAAAAAAAGTTATTAAAAAATAAAAGTTATGTCCCCCCCCTCCCCCTCCCTTCTTACCTTTAGCCTAGGAGGGAGGGGGGGTAGCCATTCTGCCTTGAGGAGGGACCATGCTACCTTCCCTGGTGGTCCAGTGGTGAGAGTGAACTCTAACCTGTAGGTTAGAGTTCACTCTCGCGAGAGCTGAGCGTTGCCGCGGTAAGCGCGGCAACGCTCAGAATCCCGCGAGAGGACCCGGCGGAGCTGCTGGTTAGAGCTCTGCCGGGTCCTCTCTCCTCCCTCCCTCCCTCCCCACCCGGCGGCCGCCTGTAACAGTGCCTCTGGGCTGGTGAGGGGATCTCCTCACCGGCCCACGGAGGCACACAGCGGGGCCGGCGCTCGGGTAGTGCTGGCCCTGCAGGGGCCGGCCGGGGAGATCCTGTGATCTCCCTGCCGGCCTCGGCCCCACGGCCATCGCGGCCCACCGGGCATTTGCCCGGTGTGCCCGATGGCCAGTCCGGGCCTGCCTTTGATGCAAAAGTGACGAAGGTGCACATTGTACTGCACCTAAACGCGCGTTGGGCATTTATTTGGAGTGTGTTTAGGGCAATTTATCACTATGCATTTAGGATGTCTATCTGATTTATAGACATGGCTCACTAGTTTTTATTAGATTTTTCACTCTTTTATTCTTTTACTCCTTTACCTATCCAGTCAGTTTAACAGGGAGAGAAACTTTATTACACTTTACTGTCTTATGCTTGACCTATTTCCTATATCACTTTCCTGTACATTGGATTTTTTTGTGTGGCTATTTTAGGTTGCAGCTGAATATACTATAGTACTCTATCCAATCTATGTTTATTCATGCTTCACTTGGATAGTACTATGGTGTAACCTTGAGTCAATCTTGTTACTAAACACTTAAACAATGGTTTAACCCCTTGTCTACCTGGGTACACTGGTATACTTTTCCAGTGCACTATTTACCTACCAAGGGCTAACAAAGGTACTATTAACTTCCAACTTTATTCTGAAAGAACTATGGTTTAACCTCTAGTTAATCCCTGTTTTTTATAACTAATACTATGGTTTAACCCCTTGTCTACCTTGGTACACTGGTTTATTTTCCAGTACACTACTTGCCTACAGAGGGTTATCATAAGTGCTACAAATAAGCCTAACTAATAAAGCTTGTATATTAATATTTTAAGCACCTGTCTGGATAATCCAATGGTTATCCATTATCTATCCTAGGTAGAGGAGTAGCCTTATACGGCTAGTATATTTCATTTGCACTGGGGATATATGTGGTTTGTGTATGTATTGGTGCATGTAGAGTGGACTGTGATCCAATTTACCTCAGGATACTGATTACATTTTTCCAGTTTTTACCTCATCCACTTTATTGTGGATTAGGTGAATCTTTCCAGTGTTGTTGTTGTTGTTGTTATTATTATTATTATTATTATTATTATTATTAGGGTTAAGCCCTTGGGACACTACTGGAGTGTCTACACTGGTGTATAGATCCCAAGAAGTAAACTCTTGGGTATCTTTTATTCTTTTTATTAGCTGTAATGCATTATTTGTAGACCCTATAAATAAGACTGTAAAAGTAATCACTATACCTGAGCCGTCCTAATTTATCGTGCAACCGATAAAACGAGTGGCCTAAGTGGGCTGAAATGTTAACCATGTCTAAAAAGTGGATGAGGTTGTACTTTATAAGGAAAACCTGCGCAGTCGAATGCGGACCGAATTTATGGAAGGTTGAAAATTGATGTGCTTGAGTGGTCGAATGAGGCCATAGCAGAGAATAAATCATAAAAAGCAGTAATCGAATTGAAAGCCCATACAAGGTGGTAGATGCCCTGTAGGGCACGTTAAGACACCTGTAATGTAGGGCTTATTAAGATTCACTTGTAAGTTGCTTATGACAGGCGAAAATCATTTAAAGGGGAAAACTCACTCAAAGGGGCTCTCCAGACCCTCAAAGCACTTTAGTGTGTACTTTTTTTATTTTTATTTAATTTTCTTTAAAAAGGGCAGTCTTCAGTACAAATGGACACCTCTATAAATCAACCCCCCCGATCAGCCCAGCGGAGCTAAACTCAAAAGGCAGCAACTGCCCAGAGCACCCACCTTGCAAAGGATTCTCATTGTACAGGACCAGGACAGTAGGGATGTGCATGGGGATGGGGAAAATATTCGGTTCGGCATTCCGAAATTCAGGACTTCGGCAATTCGGAACTTAAGGACTTCAGGGGTTCAGTTCGCAACTTCTGCACTTCAGAATTTCGGAACTTCAGCATTTTGGGAATTTCAGGACTTTGGCACTTCGGGACTTCTCTTGCAGCCGCTTAGTAGATAACTCCCTAATTCCCACGATATTAGGGGGTTATCTACCAAAAGGCTGAAAGACCTAAATGAGTCTTTCAGCCACATTTACTAATACTAAGTAAAAATTACTTAGTATTAGTAAATTTGGCTGAAAGACCAATTTAGGTCTTTTAGCCTTTTAGTACATAGCTCCCTAATACCGTGGGAATTAGGGAGTTATCTACTTATTCATTCCTGGCATTCCATTGACTGGCTAAGTAACTTACATTTTATATGAATGTGTGTTACTTGACTGTTGTTGTGTTGTATACATTGTAACATTCTTAATTCTTCCACTGGGTAGGTATATTAGTACTTCAGCAACTTCGACACTTCAGAAATTCGACAATTTCGGGACTTTGGCTATTCGTCACTTCGGCAATTCAGCTATTCAGACATTCCGAAGTATCCGAATGTCCAAATTGCCCGAAATTCATCCGAATTGACATTCAGAATGAAACGAATTGCACATGTCTATTGGACAGCCACAGAAAGACCGGACAAGGTTAAAAGGGGAGGGCAGGCAGAAGCAGCAGACAAGAGAACTGCAGATTTTGCAAGCAGTTTTAGATTATAACCCTATAAAAATATTACATAACTAAATGCATGCATGTTGCCATTCGGGGCACATCCACTAAACAGTGATTTCCACTTAGCTTGTATTTGGGCAGTGGCATGACTCTTTAAGTGCATACAGCATTAATAGAGATCATACAGAGTTGTAAGAAGTAAGCAATACAAAATGACACAGGAATAATCTAAAATAGCAAACTCATTATTAAAAGATGTTATTTGTAGAAAAATATTAAAGTAACTTCGGGCAAATGTGTGAGAAATCAGGACAACATTAGCAAGCCAGAATTAGTTAAGGCTAAAATATGCAGTGATGGCTTAGTACTTAGTAAACATGCAATAAACAAATCCCAATAACCGAACACATATCAAACAGGCTGTTACAGTGAAACAAATCCAGTACTTTTTTTTTTAAATAACCACATGAACAGGCCCGACATAAATTTAGGCAGTCAGTTGCAACACCTAGCCACATGATTAATAAACAATGTTGGTCTAATGAGTGCCTGAAAACCCAGAGGGCAGACAAATAAAACATACAAAATAGGTTGGCAACTGAATTGCATGATACATAGATTTTTAGACATTTAGAAGATATTCCCCTTTAACCCCTTAGTGACCAGACCGCTTTTAAATTTTCTTACTGTTAAGGACCAGAGCTATTTTTGCATTTCTGCTGTGTTTGTGTTTAGGTGTAATTTTCCTCTTACTCATTTCCTGTACCCACACATATTATATATAGTTGTTCTCACCATTAAATGATCTTTCTAAAGATACCATTATTTCCATCATATCATGTAATTTTACTATATAAAAATTATAAAATATGATGAAAAAATAAAAAAAAACTTTGACCCCCAAAATCTGTTACGAATCTACAACGGCCAAAAAACACCCATGCTAAATAGTTTCTAAATTTTATGAGTTTAAAAATACACAATGTTAACATGTTCTTAGCTTTTTTGGAGAGTTATAGGGCTAGAAGTACAAGTAGCACTTTGCTATTTCCAAACCATCGAACCAGCCGAAAGCTGTTAGTATTCCTATGGTAGTTTCACGAACAGTGACTTTATACACTGTTCGTGAAACGAATAAAGTACCGAATGGGAGCCCACACACCGAAGGTCGTGTGGCTCCCATTAACCGATTGCAACATTGTAGCCATCCGCAGATAAGTGTTTTCCTAGGTGGCCGTCGTTCGGCTACCGACCACACGGCGGTCGGCCATCTTGGATCCTTTGTTATACCAGCGGTGTTTGGTCGCCGAGCGCCTGGAACTAAAATCGGCTACTCGATGGCGCGAACATTGCTGGACTTCCAGGCAGTTCAGGAGCACCGGTCCTTCGGTACTTTATTCCCACATATGTGTTCGGTACTTTTCAGGTGAATAGAAAATAATGTGTGTTTCGTATGGCGTTCGGTTATTTAAGCTGGGATCTGAGCGGTACTTTCACAAAGTGTGCGTTCAGACCCCAGCTATCTACCGAACGGTCATTCGTTAGAATCATATGTATAATATTGAAGTTATGCAATTTTATGTGAAAAGTCTGTTCTGCTGTACAGAGGGATAATCCACTTAACAGGATATTCTAGTGGGAGTATCCCTCCCGTACAGCAGTGCATAGTGGGAAAAATGCCCTGTATTTTCAGTTCCCCATGTAGTCCACTACTGTATAACCCCTGTGAAGTGGCTAAG